TATATATATATATATATATATATATATATATATATATATATATATATATATATATGTTATCATTTACTTCACTTTTACTTTACTGTTATTTTCTATCGATTATATTTTTCTCCTTGTTCCTTATGCTTTATATCTTTCAGAAGTTTTGTACCAAATGTCATAGGAAAATAAAAATACAATAGGTGACATAATGAGCATGATAAACAATATGGTAAAAATATGACGAACTTATATATTTTGGATCTCAGGTCTCTCTATTTCTGTATTGTATTTTAAATTTTTTAACTGATATCATTTCAAATTCTAAGATGTTATATCATTTGAAATTTTAGTAATCCTTAAATGAATCTATGAACGATCTATCTTACTACTGTTTAAGTTCTTTTTAATTTGGTACTACATAGTGTTGCAGTTTCCTTATTGTTTGCAGATTAATGATTTGAAGAAAACGATAGAGCCGTTATTCGTTAATCGTTATCAAATTATATTGGATCGTGCACAAAAATTACAAAATGAATATGGTATCAATTTGTTTCGATCACCTTTTGCTAAGCGTAGAAAGCGTTATTTTAAAAATGATGAATTGTAATGATTCATATAACACGACACGATATCAGGATATAATATCAAGAATAATATTGTTGCTGGACATTATATAGAAATTCATGCCTGTTTCAGTAATTTAGCGGATATGTTACGATAAAATTTTGGTAGATCGTAATTGCAGAATATTTTGGCTTATACAATAATTCTGAGATTATAAGGACTATTTGGAGTCCATTGATATTTTAAAGATTTTTTGGTCGCTTAGTCAAATTGCATATATATGAACTTGCCAAGTGTTTGTGAATTGCATACCAGCAAGAAGTACAGAGAGAGTTTGACAGTTTGAAATGATGAAACGTTATTACAACATGCACTTTATTCAGTAAATTTCAGACAAAAAGAAAAAAAAAGAAATGATTCAAATTGAAATGTAATTACGGCCGACAAAATACACACACTACTTTTTAATTGGCAGATTATACCAAATATGACAAAATCAAACAAAAAAATAAGAATACTAATGTCATCATAAATATCAAGTAAATGGCATACAATAACTGTCACAAGCATACGTAGCTTAAAAATGCATGCATTGACGGCGTTTTATTTTACAGAAAAACAATATTGCTTCGTTTCCTAAAACAATCCAGCAAAATGAGTCAATAAGGTCTTTTTCATCACTAAATTTATTATAATACGATTTGTTAAATTTCTACTTACCCAATTTACATGAAATTTCTCGATCATATTCCAAATGTGTTTAAATGCATGCGCAGAAAGCATGTGTCAAGAAACTTACTTCACAGACAATAATTAGAATAGAAATTAAATAACAAGTATGACGATTTTTTTCTTCACCGCTGTCTTCATTATTCTCTAAAACCATATTAACAAAGTCGTATAGAAGTAAGGTATACTTAACTGATCGAAATTCTTACAACTTTTTTCAATACCATTTCACTATCAGCTGTTTGAGAATGCTTTCATGAGTGATCACAAACTGATAATTTTTTCATTTTTTCTTACAATTAGCAATAATGAAGGAGAAACAAGAAAAGCAGGGAAAAAATTTCCGCATATTCTTCCTTTTTCCTCACTTTTCAAAAGTAACAGAATTCTTACCTGCTCAAGCTTCGGCTCATACTCCGTCTTTCATCATATCGAGGCGATTTACGTGGTGGTGGTGTGATGGAACGGCTACGCGTTCTCCGGTAATATGGCGACCTTCAAAAATATTAGTAGTAAATCCATATTCAATTAATTTTCCGGACAAAAAAAAAATCATACTCATCATAAGCTTACATACATTGATTCGACAAACCACTATTGACTGTAATAAATGAAGTGGAATACGAGACGAATTCATTCACATAATATTTCAAGACATAATTTCATCATTGCTAAATAAAATACGAAATCTAATAAAATGTAATTCATACATTATGCATGGATTTTAGCACTTCAACAACTTGATGATGAAAATCATGGTCTGGAAATTTACGGGAATGAAATTGACAGATTTCTTATAGGCCATCACAGGAAACAGAGGTTCGTCGAAATCAACAAAAAAATTTTCGCACATTTTAAATAATGCTACCACTATTAAAAAGACCAGAAAATAGGAAAAGAAAATGTGAAACAAATTTACACAGAGAAAAAGATGCTAAAATAAAAATTTTCAAAATCATCAGCTATTAGTTAAAAAAAAAAAATCTAAAAGGGAAAATAAATGCTCCCTTTCGAAATTCGAATTTCTTACCATCCAAAGACGATGAATGGATGCTGTTTAGATTTGATATGATGATGATGATGATGATGATGATGATGATGATGATGATGATGATGATGATGATGATGATGATGATGATGACGATGATGATGATGACGATGATAATGATGATGATGATGATGACGATGGTGATGA